CTGTCTGTTTTCATATGGAGATTGTGAACCACTATCTGTATCCACTATGGAGATTGTGAACCACTATCTGTATCCATATGGAGATTGTGAACCACTGTCTGTTTTCATATGGAGATTGTGAACCACTGTCTGTTTTCATATGGAGATTGTACACCATGCACTGTCTGTATCCATATGAGAGATTTTAAACAAACTAATCACTGGATGTAAGATCTGGTTTTGATAGAAATGACAGTTTTTCCTTAGATACAGAGATACATATACACTGTAAGCCACAGCTTAACCGTGGTAGGTAGAGTCTCAGATGCGTGTAGCATTGTGAATTCCATTGGAGAAATGATAATTTAGCTTTTCTATTTCATGTAAATAAACCATACCAGTGAAATATTTCAAGCTAGTAGTGTGGAAGGGAGGACAGCAGTTTCAGTCAAAAATATGCAGTTATTTGCTCATTATGGTACAAAATCAGTAATTGTAAGTTAGGTCCTGTGAGTAAAAACTTAAATATTGCTTTGAAACTGAAAATAAAAACAAACTGTTTCTGTTGATTCCAAAATTAAGGTTCATTTCCAGAAATATTGAGAATATAAGAAAAAGTTCAGAATAATGTGGGTGAGAATGTCTTGTGGTAAAAAGGTTAGTCAATTTTACTTTTTGACTGTTTTGAGTGGTATTAATGATAGCTATTAATTGCATGCAATGTTTGTAGATATCAGCCATCTTGATTCATGATGAATAAACTGTAAATACAACCCATGCAGGAATACCATAGTACAACATGTATGGCAAAAGTCTTACAGTTTTTCCTTAGTGTTTACAGTGGTGCCACCCTTGGCTGCTTCTTCTTCTGCTATGAACGCCAAGATGGAGTCTAGAGTAAGATCCTGTTCAAATCCAGCCCACTCATCACTCTCTTTTCTGTAGCTGTGAATTAATTCAACAAGTTAAGGGGGCAAGTCTACTTAACTACGCGAGGTAAACTAGGGCTATGTCACATGGTAGATTGATGGGTTTCAAAGTTATTAGGAAAATCTGTCATTCCAGTTCTGTTACTATAACCAGGCTTATTAATTCATCCAATTTAGTTTTTTATTGTACTTTTGTCAAAAAATGCCAAGTATGAAATGGTTCAATTGTTGTGCCATGTGAATCCAAAATTACACCACTATAACCATTAGCTAAAGTAGCAGAACATTCATCTTTGGATATGGTCAATTGAAAGAAATTGTGAATATGGGCACATATCAGATTAAACAAATATTAAAATTCAATTTTTTTTATCAAAATGCCAGATTCCATCAACTGTGTTTCCCCAGCAACCAATAGGTGACTTAGCACTAACGTTACCTTCATGCGTCATAGGCTTACGTAGAATGAATTAACTTACAATGGTGACTTGGGAACGGCAACAGGAATAGCACGAGAATTTTTATACCAGCCGGTAGCAAAAGACACCACAGAGGAGACGTCAAACTGAGGAAGGTGAAAACCGTACATACGACCCAGTCGGAAGCTGCAATTAAAGTAACAGAAAGAAAATACAAAACATGCATTGCAAAGAAAATGGCTAACATGCAGATGAATTATTACAATTATGAAAATAAATTTATGACAGGATGAAATGAAAATTCCCCATTAAGTGAAAGTTAAAAAAAAGATTTCTTAAAAATATGTTTTCATGTCCTTTTGTGGATGATAACCATGCAGAAAAATGATTTAAAAATGATAAAAAAATGATTTTAAAAAAAATAATTAAAAGTGGGTTTTGTGGCAACTAAATTTTTACTAAATTTGTAAAACAGTGTGAAAGATACTTTATGCAGAATTTTTGTTTTCGATATGATAAGGTCAGATTTGATAATAATTAAAAACTAATAAATTTATTCTTTATTGTTGGCAATAAGTTGTCTATCCATGTGGCATTTTTTTTTAATCAATCAAAAACAACAAATGAGTTCCGTTGAGTCGTCATTCATAATAATATATAGTAATAAACAAATAGTTACCAAAGCGGAGATCTAATATTATTTATGGGATAGATACAGCTTTTGCGGCCCGAGGGCGTGTGGCAGAAGCTTGCAAGTGTGAGTGTAAGCCGTACAACCGAGGGCAGCAAAAGCCATATTCATTCCATAAAGGTTTTATGATATATGTTATAAGGGTAATTCTAATTTTACTACAGCATGACCTCAAACAAGCGGCGTAATTTAAAATGACGCATTTTGTTTTTAAGGATAAAAGCCAATCTTGCTAGAAATGATTGCCCTGATGTGAGGGCGCACTTCCCATAGTGAAACAAGGCCAGGAAATACAAAGCATATGATAAGGGGAGATTATTGACTGAGAATTAAAGTCCTTGAAATGAACGGAACAATTTTGTCAATCAGGTTTCTCACATCAGCCCCAAAGAGATTACAATAATTACATACTTCAATGAATTTTGTTTACTCCAGTATTCATTTAATTTTGTGCCGAGAAAAGTTGGCTAGACGTTATCTTGATTATCTGTCTTAATTTGCTTGTTTTCCCTTCAAAGTGCTGCATATTTATGTGTCCAACTGATCATTTTAAAAAAACGGGAGCCCTCACAGTTCCCTGTTGGAGAGGCCTCTAAGATGAACTCAGAAAGAGGCTCCTGGGTGAAGACGTGTTTCTCCGTATATACACACATAAAAAAAAAACACTCTTTAAAAAGAAAGAAACACTTTCTTGTTTCTTTTTAATTTAACCCATCAGTGTGTTCAACTAAGATGTTAGTGTATTACATTCTAAGTAATATTTACTCAGAAATTTTGAAAAATCAGCTGGAAGTTAAAATATTTAATTTAATTGAATAAACTGAGAGTTAGATAAACACACTGATGGGTATGGATTAAAAGATACAAAAAAATGGTTCTTACCAATGGAAAAGCGGTTTACTGTATGCCGGAAGGCCTCTCCCAAAGGTAACTGTGAGGGCTCCCGACTTATGAAAGGGTCTATGAAATGGGTCTTCAAGGCTTAAGAGTATATAATGTACTATGGATTTAGAATTAAAAATATACTCAGACGAATTCTGATATCCAGTTAAACTGATCTCTTACTCAACAAAAAACAACTTTGTGATGAAAAAATTGAGAGGAACTTTAAGTTCCTATTTGTTGTGTTTATTAAATATTTAATGAGACATGATGCATTACCAATAGATCCTTATCACCTTTAGCAATTCACTAGGGGGATAGGAAAACATGGGATATATTTGACAATATATAACAATACACTAGCTATGGTTACACTGGAGTGTACAACACAAAGCAATTGTTGCTGTTCCAATGGGTTCATTAACAAATAATTCCTGACATTAATACACATAGTACAAATGTCAGCACAAATATCAGTTGGTTGGCTTGGTTGGCTCTTGGTTTTATTTG